CCGGGTGGGTCATTAGGGCAAGTCCTTTCTGGGAACCCTCACGTGCCTTCTCACAAAAGGACCTCAATGACATGATCAAAAACTGAGTTTCAGAATGTTCTTTGGTCTGATTTGGTAATATGTGTCTGGGGTATCTATATCCTTATCCCTTAATAATACATACCCATCTGTTTGGGGTAGCCTTGGTACATATAATCTTCAGTCAAGCTTAGAACTTTGGAGAATATTTAGAAAGCCAAAGTAAGTCCATTTTTACTGGTGGAGAAACCAGATATCCTATATTCCATTCAGTGCATTTTTGAGTGACTTTTTAGTAATAAGACTCTCCACCTTCAAATTAAGCTTCTGTGGGATCCTTGATTAAAATGGATGATTAAAAACAACCTTAGGGGGAAAAAAACTCCTCAAGATAATTTTCTCTGGGTTCTTCTAAACTTCTTTCTATAAGTGCTGTAAGTTGAATCCCTCTTGACTTATCCTGAGTGGAAACAGAACAATGACTCTGTATAAAATTCCCAAGATCACTTTCAGTTTCCCATTAGTCTTATCATTGCCATATAAGTAATCTTATTTTCTTTAGATTGTCCTGAGTCTATTCCTGATCCCTTAATAATGTTTGCTGACCTCCTCCTGAATTCGCTTTTAAGAATTCAAGTATTGATTCTAAGACATTTAATGATATACCTTTCTAGTGTTTTAGTAGATATTGAACTGGGCTTAAAATTTAGTTATTTTAAATTAAAGTCAGTGAATCGGAAGTAACTATTCAGCTCATATATAGTGCACATAGATGAACACACACAGATGCCGACACATGTGCAGAGTAGGGTCTAGGAGACAATGTAGGTAAAGGAGCAAAGATTTGGAGCAGAGAAGAATTAGATATAAAATTTATTTAAAGGAATCTCTGATTCCATCTTAGAGAGGAGAGCCAATAAATAAGAACTAACTCTGAACATTATTCAGGTCAGTCATTTGAGAGAGATTATGCTGACACAGCCTTAACCTGGGAGATGACAGACCACGGTGAAAGGGAAGTAGGTTGGAAGGAATGGGACAGGTTTAAGTGAAGTTGGGAAATTTCACAGAACTATACTGTGCTTTTGTGCTCAGACTTTAGCTGAGAGCATTTGGAGAGTGGGAAAAGCGTTAAGTTATACACCTCAAATTTAGAGAATAATACAAAAAAAACCCATGAACTGAAAATCACATCGACGTGCAAAGAACAGGCGGTTCCTCCTCCCTAAGTCCGCGTCTGGGCATTGATGGCCAGCAGCTGGGGAAGGGGCACCTCGCATGTTCCCATGAGCAGTCATGGTAAATTGATCCCAAGCAAGGTGATTAGAGATGGTAGCGTGTGCAGAGCTATCAAATGAGTTTAGGAATAACCAGCAGATAATGGAACGTATATAAATATCAGGAGTCTGAGGCAAGAATCAAAAAATGTTGATGAACAGAAGGGGATGGGATGATGGTGGGGGAATAACATTACAGTCAGGAGAAGCCAAGCTTACAGGGTCATCTGAAGTAAAACGTCAATTGGGCAATGGACCAGGCATTTGAATGCATTACAAACACAGGGCAGAAATAGGAAGGCAGAAAGCAACATCCAAGAGAATGATCACTAGGACACTTTTCTACCTTCTTGATGCAGGGATTTTCACTTCCCACGCAACAGGCACCAATCCCAGAAACTCTACAGAGCAAAAATGTAACTTAGTGGGTATGTGAAAACAGCATTCCAGAGGCCCACTGCCAGGGATCATAGGTCGAGCTCAGGAATCTGCATTTAAAAAATAAGCACCATTGAAAATTTCAGTGCTCCTGGTTTACCAACCACTTTCTAAGAAATGCAGCAAGTAAGTAATCCAGGGGCCCCAACGGTGCAGCAGGTCTGGAAACATATTGCTAAACAGGCCCAGAGTTTCAGTATTCCCACCTGGTGAGCACGTGCTGACTCCTGTCGGAGGCAAGCTCATGACCCAGCTGTCACAGCTTCCTGCACTTGCTTGGAAACATCTACTCCTTTTACTTAGTTTTGTATCTTTGATTTTTTTAATGTTGCTGTTTTACTTGGGCTTAATATTATATATCATTTCAAATCTTGTTTGGAAATAGGTGGGGTATAATTCCTAATTAAATGAAAAAATTAATTGCTGATGCCTTTTCTCATTTAATCAGAAGTGGAGAAAATGAGTGATGCTATTCAGTTATTAGTTGAATAATATATATTTTTTTATCCTGAATCTGTCTTGGTAATATATGTGAGACTACCTTGAGAACTAAAATTGTATAGGTGATTTTTTAAATATTAAGACTTTATATATACACCAAGTATGTATATTTATCTATTGTGTTCCTAGAAAGTTTTTATATATTCAAATGTTGTTGTGTTTGTGATGTTGAATTAATTAAAGGGGGGTAAGTCCAAAAGTTTCCATCAAATACACCTAAAAAGCATACACCACTTTGACAAAATATTGTGGCTCTTTATTCTTTGTAACTCTTCCAAATCCTGCTAACAGAAAGAGGATTATCAGAACTATCTGTGTGTCGCGAGGGGGGGTGGGGGGGTGGTTGGGGGGGAGCCTGGAAGCTCTAAATGTTTCTAAAAGAGCAAGGCTTTTTAATGCCTTTTTTAAAAAAAAATTACTGGGAGCTTTCGGTGCAAGTTGATCCTTGTGATCTGTCAAGACTATTGCTCCACAAACTATACCTTCCTGGCTTCAGTTTAATGGACATAACTGATTTTATGTTGAACCAGGCTCAGATGAGGTCTTGCTGTGGTCCTTGTGTGGCAACTGGCCTATTTGCAGAAAGCCTTGTCTCCATCTCCAATTATGCCAATTTCTGCATGTAAGAATTTTTATGAATAGAAATGGAACAGTCCAGGCAGGATGTTTCTGCTTGAATTAAAGACTACATATGAGAAAAATGTTGCTGTCCCTGACTAAGGTGATAAAATTATTTTCAAAACAAAGGATCCAGGCAGAAGATAGATTTATTGATGTGACAATCTTCAGGAAAACTAGAGATATAATCTCAGAAAGATGTATATTCAAAAGGAAGCCTTAGGGAATATTCTCATCTCTTGAAATAATAGGGAATCTGACAGGAGGAGTTTGGCATCTGGGAGAGGACAATAAAGATTACAATTTAGAGTCACTTGGACAGAAAATGTGAGTTTCCTGTCATATATGTGACAAAGTTGGCTGTATCCCTAAGGAATTAGAATCGTGCGGACATTCAGCCTACAGCGTTTAGACAAAATACAATAGCCTTTTTGCCACCCATGCCATTAAGTTGCCCCGACTTGGATCTGAGTAAATAAGCTACCTTCGAGGGGCAAGATTAACTCCCCTCCTGTCAGCTTAATTTGGACTAAGTGGATTTTCATGGGGGTTTTCTGTTTGGGGGTCATGATTAGGCCTGTGAGAGAGCCAGGTGTGTTTATTTTCTGAGCTCGAAGACTGAAGTTCCTGGGTGGGACAGAACTGGGCCTCTATGCTTTACCCTCTGGGCAAAATGTGAAGAGACACAAGGTAAACCAGCAGCATTGGAGTTTTCAGTGCTGCTTTAAAAATCGATTCCTGATCGTGAGACTCTGGAATCTATATTTTCATATACCCACTCAGTTATATTTTTGCTCTGTTAAGTTTAGAAACTACTGTTTTTCTGGGATTGGTGCCTGTTGCATGGGAAATAGAAAATCCAGCATCAAAAAGGCAGGCAATTGGTGTCCTTTGTAATAGGCTAACACTTAGTCATTGGATCTTTTATTAAAATTTCATAAAAGTGATATAGTTTGTTTATACTACTGACATACTTAGGAAATACTTTCCTAATTCTCTTCCAGGCAATCCACCCTTTCCCCAGCATCTCCCTAAGTTTGGGATTTAATTATAATGCTTATATACTGTTAAAATTGTGCATTTTTTATTATACAAATTGTACTGTTTTATTATACTTCTCTGGCTCATGACCCTCCTCTAGAAATTTCTTCTTCCTTTGAAAGGCATCCAAAGAGCAGCCCCATGGAATGGGAGTGGACATCTTTAGCTAAATGTAGTAAAGACAAATAGAGTTTTTGGAGGTTTAGTTCTGCCCAAACCTAAATAGTGCTGTTGAGAAAATACATGTTTCCTTTAAAAAGGGGGCTGAGGGTCGGTGACCTGGGCATTATCTGTATATGTATCTGGATATCTGCTCAGTTTATTGTTTTATTTTTTCCAGTAAAGTTGGTTTCCTATCGACTTAGCCAATACTATTTTCAACTTTATCTGCTTGGGCTCTGGAGAAAGCCACACATCTCCCTCTCTTGGCCTCAAGTAATAAATGACCTTCTAGCAGATCAGCTTCAGCCTCTCAGCTGAAGAAAGTGCAGCTTAGGCGGCAGGTGTCAGCATGCTGGCCTCGGGGATGGACCTTCCCCCACCCCACCCCGCCACCCCCCGAGATCCAAACGCCAGAGTTCACTTGGCGGGACTCTAGGGTGCAGTGTTTGTGGAGGTGTCTGTTTCGAAGGAAAAAAGGAACAAAGATTCCAGAGCTCAATCCGGAAGGCTGCATCCTGAGACAGACAGGAGACTGCTAAGAGGTGCCACTTGGCAGGAAGGCACTGGATTCACAAGTTGAGACTTGAAGGTGGAAACTCCAAGTGCAGCAGGAGAAAGCCAGCCCTGGAGGGAGCCGAGGGAAACGCGCTGGGACGGTCATGCCAAATGCTAAATGTATTTAACATTTGTTTTTTAAAGAGAGCATATTTCAAAATGCCTAACCAAAAATTTTTGGTGAAGAATATTTTGTAGAGTGTAGAGTGGGGATTAGAAGGATTACTTAACTTGAAGAAAGAAAAAGAAAAGAGAAGAAAAACAAAATGCCCAAGGTGCTTGTGACAGCAACTCTTCTGCAATACGATTTCTTTTTAAACCTGTTAAAGAGACTGTTCGCGAAGCCTTTTGGCTCATCACCTCCTAGGCTGAGAGAAAATCAGGGTTTACCTCATTGCCGTGGGCGGCTGACTCACTATCAGAATCTTTGGTCCTTTTGATGTCTGCCGCCTGCAGAGTTCTCAGACACCTGGGAAGGAAGAAAGAGAATGTGAGGGGGACTTTCAAACAGTGTTAGAGGAGGCAAGTTTTACCAATCTTACTCATTTAAACCATTTGTTTGAGTGGGAGGACTGCGGTTCCTTTTGTTGTCCTAACTCCATCCCATCAAGACTTCTGAAGAAGAGAAACCAGTTCCATCATAAGGACACAGGTGTCCATCTCTGGGAAAACAGGTCCAGTTAAAATCAGAAGCGGAAAAAGGTAAAACCAGAGTGAGAGATCATGAATTGATAGCCCAGTGGTTAACTTCAGTAGCGTGGCTTATACAAGGTCCATACTGAAGCGATGCCTCTTTCAGGACGTGGGATCCTGAAGACCCTGTTACCGAAATTAACAGTCACCGGAAATTATATCTTGTAAGAATTTTTCAGAAAAAAAAAGCCAATGAAACGAATCACCCATGCTTGTTTTTGTTTTTGTTTTTTTAAATTATTTCTTTCTCTTTACGAACCAAAGTGGGAAAAGAAGGTAAAGAAAGCTTCAAATATTGTGAGGTAAACCCTCCGTATGAGATCCTTTCCTGTATAACTGATAAAATGTTTACATGGCATCCTAAAGACTTTAAAAACACAATATATATTAATTGTCATGTCATACTTTCTCTACCGTAAACCATCTGTGAGTTCGAGTCACTGTGCGGATGGCCCACTTAGTGTCAAATGCAGATGCTCTTCTCTGTGAGCTTACATGAGGGCAAGTGGCAAGCTCCTGTACATATTAAAAAATCCAAGGCTGGGCTATGCTCCTATCTACTTGATAGGTGTTTCCAACTGCTCTGGGCTTTCCTTCTGTCATTTGATATTCATATGATTTTCACACATTCATTTATGTGACACTTAATATAAGTATGTTGAATAAATGAATGTATGGAGGGAATTAGGCATGTAAATGCTGACTTGCCTAGGTAGCCTTTTGAATTTCAGTTTAAATAATTCCAGCCAACATCTCATTCCTGCCTATGACACCCCTCCAAAATCACAGTGCTAGAAAATCTGTGTCATGGATTTGGTGTTTAGCATACATGGTTCCTGATTTGTTTTCTAGTGATTCAACTCTTTCAACCCCTAAATGATTAAATATGTTACCAAGAAATACCCACTGATTATTTAGATGGATTTAATGTTAAAGTATATACTCAATTTTTTTCTTGAATTTTTATTTTGTTAAATCTTGTGTCCTGTTATTTACCTACAACTTAAGAAATTCAATTGAATGTTCTCTGTAACTTACAATTCATTTTTTGGTGCATGCCTTCTGTTCTGGGCACCATGCTAGTTGTTGGAGGTACAAAGGCAATCAAGACGTTGCCAATGGACTTAGGAAATGCAGTGTGACAGAAGCAGTGCATGAAAGCAAATAACTAATGCAAATGAATAGTGTATATGTATTCATGGCCACTAATTTGTTTAGTTGACTATCCCTTGCCTGTTCATGGAAAGGCAAGTAATGTTTCCCAAACCAGGTTCTACTGAGAAAGGTTTCTGTTATCAGGTAGTTTTGGGAAATTAGCCCACTAGGCCCTCCATTTGGAGATTCATAATACATACCACCATATTATAATAAATATCCTGAGAGATCTTACTGTAAAAAATAGGCCTATTTTATTTTGTTCATCTTTTTCCCAAACTTACTTGAACATCCAACACATTTTTCATGGCACACGTGCTAACATCTTGTGGGATATTAACATTCTGTGGGCCATCAGTTTGGGAAATGAACTGATCACTATTTGGAACAGCTTGGCGTGTGCCCTCCTGTTATAGGGGATTAAGAGATAAACGTATTTTTCATGTATAAGGGAATCCTCAGAAGCACCTGAGAGAAACCTAACTCAAACTAGCTTAGGCAGAAAAGGAGAGGATTGATTCACATGTATAGAAACTAGGAGTGGGTTTTGTTTCAGGGTCTCCAATGGCATCTTCAGGTTCCTCTCATTCTCTATTCTTTACTCTGTACCTGTGTGTGCATGGATATGGACTTCCTCATGTGTCTGGGGTTAGGGATCAGGGGACTGCATGGCTACAAGCAGCTCCAGGTTTAATTATATTCTTTAAGCTTAGTGACCTCAGAGAGAAGAGAAAGCTTATTTTCAATACTCACATATAAATCCTCAGGGAAAGATTCTGATTGGTTCAAGTAAAGTCTTGTCCTCACTGAGGGCAGATCACTGTAGTCACATAAATCCCAAATACTGGAGGTGGGTGGATTCTCTGATTAAAGGCTTCAGCAGATCTATGTGGAATGAAAAGAGGCAGTTCAAAGGGGATTGGTGTTACTAGGTTGATGCTAAAGGATAAAAAGATAGTTTTCTACCACAATGTGGTCTAAATTATTAAAATCTAGATTTGGCCATAATAGGCAGTTAGACCTGGTGTCCAATTACTATCAGGAAAAAAAAGGATTAAAAAAAATCAACTCTTCTAATATTTTTTCAAGATATTTAATTTATGAATGGCAAATGCTGTGACCTGTTAGTTGTTTAAGCATATAAAAGATTTTCTTGGTTCCAAGAAATTATATTGCTCAAAGTTATACATTCTATAATTTTTAAGTATCTGAAGTGACTAACTTTACTGTAAATATTTTAACCAAAAATTGTTGCAGCTATTTATAAGGTATTCAACAGCCTTATAAAGTATAAGGGAACTTAATTCTCTGCCTTTGGATTAGAGTGAACCCAAAATAATTAAGCAGGCCAAATCTTGGCCCTGTCCATGGTACCCATTGCATCATGGTGGCTCATCTCTAAGAGCATGTGGGAGGCATTCCACACTTCTGCTTGGGAAGAAGCCTAATGACACATGCCTAAGTTTTCACAGAAGGATGTCAACTCTACACCAAGCTCAGATACCCACTAAAGCTGCAGTTCTGCATTTAACTATCGATGTAATCTAGTTAAACTTGAGGAATCTGAACCCAGTCCTGAAATTACATAAAGTAAAAGATCAAAGGATTTGGAGCTTTGAAGGAGGTGGAGGCTACAGATATTCATTCCTTGATTGTAGTTGGAGACAGATTACCCCCCCAATTTTTTTTCTAAATGTTCTCAATTTAGAGAAAAGAAGAGGATTCATGTTGGAACTTTGGACAGATGAAGAGAAACCAGTAAAAGACAAGAAGGAAGAGCAGTCAGAGAGGTAGAATGTGCATTTGAAGGAGGTGGTCATCAGTACCAGGCACTGTAGACAGATCATGTCAGAGGAGCTCTAAAAGAAGGCTCCATTTGAGTTTCTGTGCCATTTTGGGTAACAGTGTTCATAGAGAGGAGAATACAGATGCCAGACTGCAGTGAGTTTGGGACTAAATGAGAAGTGAAGAATTAGGAACAGATGGAAGCAACCTAAGTGTCCCCCAGTAGATGAATGGATAAGGAAGATGTGGTACATATACACAGTGGAATATTATTCAGCCATAAGAAGAAAACAAATCCTACCATTTGCAACAACATGGATGGAGCTAGAGGGTATTACGCTCAGTGAAATAAGCCAGGCAGAGAAGGACAAGTACCAAATGATTTCACTCATCTGTGGAGTATAAGAACAAAGCAAAAAACTGAAGGAATAAAACAGCAGCAGACTCTCAGAACCCAAGAATGGACTAACAGTTACCAAAGGGAAAGGGACTGGGGAGGATGGGTGGGAAGGGAGGGATAAGGGGGAAAAGAGGGCATTACGATTAGCATGCATAATGTAGGGGAGGGGCACAGGGAAGGCAGTACAACAGAGAGAAGACAAGTAGTGATTCTATTGCATCTTACTACACTGATGGACAGTGACTGTAATGGGGTATGTGGTGGGGACTTGATAATGGGGGGAGTCTAGTAACCACAATGTTGCTCATGTAATTGTACATTAATGATACCAAAAATAAATTAGGTACAGAAAGTATGGCTCCTTCACTGAGAAATTTTGCCGTGAAGGGAAAAGAGAAAGGGGATGGTGGCTAGGAAGGGACTCAGAGTTGAGAGCTACATTCCCCCCCACCCATTTGAAGGAGTTTGTATGCAGAGGAGAAAAGGAATCAGAGGAGAGAGAGTGACTGAAGACATAGAAAAGGAAGAGTTTTATTTCTGCAGCAAGATCCTAAACACAGCTTGGTTTATGGGACTAAGAGCCCAGGTTTAAGGAGCAAAGGATGGATGAAGATGAGTCTTGACAAGACTGGAAGTGGGCAGAGCATGTTGGGGAAATGAATGCTTGTGGCCTTTTCCTTTCAGTAAAGTAGGAGATGAAGTTCTCTGCTGAGAGGGGGAATGTCAAACAGCTGGAGTAAACAAAATCATTCCAGAGAAGTACTGAACACCCAGCTTCAATCTCATAAATATGCAAAATTAGGGCTTGGAGTTGGCAGGACAGATGTGTAAAAGAACAGATGTGCAAAGGATACTGGTAATAATATCTTTGAAGAGACAGACCAGGAATTCAAAACTGGAGAGACAACAAAATAAAGTCTGATGGTGTCTCATAGCCTGTGAGAAAAGAGGTCGAGTGGCAGGGAATTTAATAAGGGGAGACACAGCCCAACACGTGACAAGTAGTATGTAGTTTAAAAAAAATACCATTGACAAATGGAGAGAGCCTGATAAGCTGAAGTAGCAGGTTAAAAACGTTAAAGTTAAAAGTTGTAAGCTTATGCGAGTGGGAACAGAAGGTTGGCAGGCAATCAATCCATTCCGAGCTGTGCCGTGTGTAACCTTTATCAGCGTATGTGGTGACCCTAGAGGCTGGAGTCAGAACACAATCTCTGTTCATGATTTTGCTAGAGAAACAGTTCTAGGTGATGCCCGGCTCCAAAGGCTGGTCTGAGGAGTGGCTGTTGAAGCAGCGGAGAAAAAAATGCTGTTGGGGATCAAGAGCCTGTAAGAGTGGGGTTTGGAATAACCCTCAGCAAACATAAACAGTGACCTGGGCAGTCAGTAGTTGACTCCCAGAACTCCATGAGGAAGAGGATGGTATAATCCCAAATTCAATGGGTAAAAGCTCTCTGGCATTGTTGCCGGAGAGCTAGGGAAATGCCAGCCTTCTTCCCCCACAATTTTAAAGGATGAGGGTGGAAGAAGTGTCACCTGGGTAGCACTTGTTTTCAGTTAAGGAAAACTATTGAAGGAATAACCATGAGTGGAGTAAAATGGGCTTGTGTGCTCCAGTGGAGGGAGTATTTATCACTAACTTTGTTTAGACTTGCTAACTAGCGCATGGTAATTTAAAAAAGAAAAGAGATGGACTTTTATTATTGTTTTAAATTCTCTATAGACAGTGCACCTATTATCTGTACTCCACATGAAATGCTTTTGCGAAGGAGTATTCTAGGAGTTGAGGATATGTGAAGATATTGAAAGATTACTGAAAGCTAGATGAAAAGTATTAAGAATAGTTTAAACAAAGGAGGATAAATTGTGGTAGAAATATCTTTCTGCACTAAGTTGGGGAAGGGGCTCATATATATGAGATGTCCTTTCAGTAACCTTTTCCAATGACATCTTGTGCTGTTCTCAATCCCAGGTTGCAGTCCTTGTTTCTCAGCTGTTCTCACCTGAGTGAACTCAGGCAGCTAGGTGGGGCTGGTTACAACCAACAGGAAAATGTACTTCACTTCTATTTATGGGTTTTCACTTCCAGTATGAAAACTATCCCTCCCCTTGGCGCTGCAAGAACTTTTCCCAAAGGCAGTGGTTCTTACTTTCTTCTGAAGGCTGAAATGCTTTCAGGTTTTCTCCACCTCCTTTGATTTTACTGAATACACCCTTTAGATCTCTCCAGCAGCGTGAGGTTTTCAACTGTCATCAAGACACATCAGTGTGTTGTCCATTGGAAAGAAACAGCTATTACTGGTTCAGTAATAGCCATCATGGCAACTGCCCATCACCGATACTACCCAAGTCTGGAAGGACCATTGTCACTGAGGAATGGGGTCATGCAGAGGGGGGGCAGGTTTTCTAACACAGGGAAGATTCTGCTCTTGAATGTCTGTAGCACCAATGTAGGAATTTCTAGTTTGAATCAATCCTGAGGCATTTAACTGCTATGTTTAGCTCAAGCAGACAGAAATAAGCCCTGTGTAGGTAGTTTATGTACCTGGTTTTGTCTTGATAGCAATAGTCAGATAGAACTCCTCTAATCTGAATATTCATCTACACTGTGGTTCTGAGAATCTGGTCCCCGGACCAGCAGAATCAGCGTCACCTGGAGACTGAGAACTGCAGGTCTCCACCACTACCACTGAATCAGAAAATCTGGAGGTGGCCAAGCAATCTGAGCTTTAACAAGCCCTCTAGGTGATTCTGATCTTTGTTCAAGGTAGGGAGGGAACCGCGGGCCACGTGATGTTGGGTCTCAAGCCAGGCTGCACATTTATATCATCACGGGGAACTTTTAAGAAAAAACCAATGCTTGAGCCCCATCATCAGATTCTGATGTAACTAGTCTGGTGTGGGGCCTCGGCATCAAGAAGTTGTCGAAAGTTCCCATGATTCTAATGATAATCAGAGTTGAGAACCAGTGTTCAACAGTAGTATAAAGAAGGGGCTCTCTATCTTAGGACTTTTGCAGTAAGTGCAAAAATAATTAAGAACAGTTTTATTTATTTTACTAGGATGTTTATTTAGGCATGCTTATATATAACAAGCCTCAAAAAATGCAAGACTGAAAAGGGTGGGGATCTTTTTGTCTGGTTGTAATTTTTTTACTATTCTGAGTACCTGGGGCAGTGCTTGGCAGATAGCCAAAATGGAGTTATTTAAGCACCTACTAACTGAATTAATAACTTAAAGAACAGAGTTCCAATAGGAACTTGCCTTTCTACCTCACAAAGGAACCAGGAAGTGCCCTGAGCAGGAAGGAATAGTCTCTGTTTAGGGCTGGCGTTTGTTCAGCAATTCTGTCCTGCAGATTCTCTATGAATCCTCTTTGTCCTTGCCCCTCGCCTGTCTGTGCCAGCATGTCACCGCCTTGTGTCAGGATTCGCATTGTATTTGCAGAGTCTGGACTCTGCTTATGCCTGGAGCCAGAATCCCCTGTGCTCTCGTTACCGATATTGTGAGAGCAGTTATGCCCTCTGACCTGAGCTCCCGAATAGCTTGTTTTCCTTTTCTCTGACTAGCCTCTGTCCCTGCCCTCTCCCTGCTCTCCACCTGTTGACAGGTGCTGACGCCTAGCCCACCTGTGTTGTGCTTCACATATTCTTCCCTGTTGGAGTGCCCTATGGCTAATGGAGGGGTTCTGTCTGCTTGCTGG